TAATATTTTTCTTTTAAAGTTTTAAAAGTACCATCCTGATCTATGATCTTATTATTAAAAGAATAATGACATAAAAACCTCCAAAGTAGTTGTTATTAACATTTTAATCTCTAAAGTTTGTCACTCACACAATATATCTTCAAGATCATTTGTTTAGAAAAGAAAAAAGTAACTATCTCTTCGTTTATTGGCTAATAATATCTAATCTCTACGCTCGATCAAATCTATACATGCTACATTTGTAGTTAGTGTATATATACATTTACATGAAGAGAGTATAAACTTGGTGAAGTAAGCTTACTAAAACTTGGTGAAGTAAACTTACTAAAACACAAGTTTATACTCTACTAGTGGCTGTCCACGCGTTACGTGAGGTTTAAAAATTAACAAAGTAAAATTAACTTAATAATTTATAGTTTTTAATTATTTGGGTATTTAATATTATATAAATTTGGTGTTTATAGTAAATAATTATCTAATTTAGAAGACTAAGCATTTGTAACAAATTGTTGGACATATAAACCATTATATATATGAAAAAAATGATAATATATGGAAGACATTTTCTTTGGTACAAATCCTTAATTTATATGTCTGAATCAATATTCGCTACGATTTCCTAAAAAGATGATCAGTCGTCTTTTATTCATCAAATACGCCTGTAAAACTCTATTGATTAGACAAGTTATAATATATTTTGTTTCTATCGAGACAGCTACATCATCTCAACAGAGGTGTTAAAATTTATCTTTTTGTTTATTTCTTTAGAACCTTGAATCATCATGAGAATAATTGATGTTTGATTGTTTTTTGTCTCACTATTTTGCTGTGATTTTTATCTTTTACATCAATTCATTGGTGAAATGATTCTGTTTTTTTTTATGGATTTATAATTTATGGTGAAGTAAGGTTTTTTTTTAGAGTCTTGGTTAGGAAAATTAATTTGTCCAACACAAATTGTTTCAATTGTATTAGAGGGTGATTGATATATTAGTTTTAAAAGCTATGAAATCATTTTTAAAAATGTGTAAATTCTAAATTTCTCCAATCAAACTTGTTGGATTTACCAGCCTTAAAAGTTTTAAAATCATTCTTTATTTTTCTCACATCATTTTTTTGTTCATGTTATGCTTATTAAAGCTATCCTTTTGTATTTTTTTTTTAATTTTAAAATCAAAGTTACCTCCTAAAAAAAAAAAATAAATGTTTTTGTTTGTATAAAATATTATTGGATTTGATCAATAAAATATTTATTTTCTATACAGAAGTTTACATAAAAATTATATAAATGTACACAAAATACTTAATTGTAATTTGTTAGAATTAGCTTACATAAAAATTAGCTATTAAATTGTTAGAATTAATTGCTAAATTTATTAAATGCACTTAATTTTTTCTTTTCTTTTGAATAAATAAATTAAAATGACAAATGTAAAAAATTAGATGACACATCACAATCTCTCATGGCTTAATCTTTGAAAAACCTTACTATATTATATAAGATTTGACCTAAAAAAAAACTCTCTTCATGTAGATGTATAAATAATACAAATGTAGCATGTATAGATTTGATGCAGCATAGAGATTATATATTGTTAGCGAATAAAAGAAGAGATAGTTACTTTTTTTTTTTTTTTATC